GTCGAAAATATTTACTAGCTGTAGAAGTTTTCTGGTGGGAGCTTTAAGGATCTTTAGTGTATAAAATTATAACATCTGAAAATAAAGATCTTCTGACTCCTTGATTAACTATTTTCTCACCTTCATCTCCTTCATTTGTCTTATTGCTCTAGTGAAGACATTAAGTACTCTATCAAACAGAGAGTGGACATCCGATCTATTAGTCTGTGTCTTTTTGATAGGGAATTAATTGATGATCAATAAATAGTATTGATTTCTGTTACTTTTTATTATGTTGTGGACTTCACCTTCCTCTTTTGATTTGCTGCACAGGAATTATCTATTCCTTCTGTCTTCTTGGGTGTGGTTAGCTTCTTCAGACTGAAGTTTTCTTTTAGTGCCTAATAGAGCTGGATTGGTAAATAGTAATTGCTTAATTTTGGTTTTATCATGGAATATTTTTCCTCTTCTGTTGGTTATGATTGACAGTTTTACTGGGTATAGTAGTCTGGGCTGGCATCTATAGTCTGAGTTTGTAGAACATCTGTCATGGTCCTTCTGACTTTCAGAGACTCCATTAAAAAGTCAGATGTCATTATAGTGTGCCTGCCTTTTTATGTGACTTGATCTTTTTCCAATGCAACTTTCAATATACTTTCTTTGTTTTTTTGCATTTAGTATTTTGATTATTATGTGTTGTAGGTAATTTCTTTTCTAATCCTGTCTGTTCATTGTTCTGTATGCTTCTGTACCTTGATAGGCAGCTCATTCCTCAGACTAGGGAAATTTTCTTCTATAATTCTGTTAAAAATATTTTCTGGGTCTTTGACCTGGGCTTCTTTTCCTTCCTCTATTCCTATTATTTGTAGTTTTGGGCTTTTCGTAGTATCATGTATCCCAGATTTCCTGAAAGTTTTGTATATGAGTTGTTGCTTTTTTTTTAACTTAGCATTTTCTTTGACTAAATTAGCCATTTCTTCTACTTTGTCTTTAAGATCTGAAACTCTTCTATGAGTTGTAATCTGTTGGTGATGCTTACCACTGAGATCTTTGCTAAGAGTCAGATTCTCCAGAGAGTGGAGGTGGGGTGGGAGGGAGGGCTTCTGCCTGCTGGTAGCTGCAGGACTAAGAGTAATTCAGGAGAAGCTGGGATTGAGGACAGGAATAATAGTAAAAGTCTCCTATCTGCACCCCAGCCCAGTGTGGCCTCTGGGGGGGGGGGGGGTGTGTGTCCCTGGTAGGACATGTTTCTGCAGATCAGCAGCTGACAAAAAGGGATGGATATGTGTTGGGAGCTGTGAACCCCCAGATCCTGAATTTCTTGTAAACAACTTTGTTTCCCTCTGCTCTGAGATAGCTTGCAGCTGCTCTGAGCAGGAGAACCTCAGGTGTTCCTGATGGCAGGGGAGTGATTTCTGGTGGGTTTGGCTGGGGCGTGGCTATCCCTATATAAGCTGCCCCTGGACACAATAAAGGGGGCATTCTGGCATCAAGGATGACCTGTGTCTCTTTTTGTGTCTTTGTGTGTTTCAATCTCCAGCCCCTTGCCCGGTTCATGAACTGTATGGTAGCACATAGAGCACAGATGGGCACGGTGCGTTACAGATATAGACTAAAAGGAAAGACCAAGGAGGGTGATGGGAAATAAGGGGAACCCTTGGGTCTGCACCCTTGGGTAGTGGGGCAGCTTGGTGAGAGATGGGCCTCCTGCTGGCAGGGTGTAAGCAGGAGGAGTCAGGTAAAACCCCATTTTATGGGTGGAGAAACTGGAGCATGGAGAAGTCAGCGATCTTGTTCAAGTTTCACTGCTGAGGAGGGAGTCAAGATGGAGCCCAGCCGGGTGGTTTTGAGCGAAACTGTCACTGTGTGAGCTCACAACAAAATCATGCATGTGGTTTGGAGCAACCTTGTAACTAACTCTATCAACTGCATCTTATCCACTCACCAACCAAGATGAAATCAATTTTAACCCCAAATTCTGGCTTCCTGCACAGCTCTGCGACTTTGCAGAGCTGTAAGCTTTTGTTTCTGGTGGGCTCACGCTCCATGCAGCATTTCTGAGTGATTTCATTTCTATCCTGTCTTGGTGATGAACTGTGTGTGGGTCTAGTCCCTTCTGCTTTGTGTTACCTTCTCTTAGGTGTGCTATCACCACTGCAGGCCATGGGATGTTCCTCTTATCAAAGACCAGACCAAGTGAGGATATAACACCCCATTGGCAAAGCAGGGGCTAGTTAGAGAGCAAAGGTCAGGAGAAGCCTGAGAGCCATTGTTGAAAGGACCTAAGAGAAGACACAGTGACAAGAGCCTTTATTCGATACTAGTCTGGTGCTCCCCTTCCACTAATGACATAACACAGCAAAATTTGGCTACATCATCATATCATCAATCAATCAATCACCATCATCATCTAAACATGCATGCAGCTTTGGAGAGTGCACCTAAAAGATTGTTCTCCATTATGTTTATGTTACCTAAAGCTTGGCTGTGATATTTAACTACATTAGTCGACACTGGATCCCTTCAAGTCACATCTTACTAGTTACACCTGTTTGTTGTGCGTGCCCTACTCCTGCTTTGCAGCTCTTCCTACAGGACTTTGGGGAAGGCATTCATCCTCTCCTGATGAGGATTACATATCCTTCACAGTACCATCCTGGGCACTGACTAAGATAGTGTGCGGCAGGCACATAGCACAGCTTCTCAAAGGCACAAAGATGAACAAATGCAGGCAGTGATTTATGCCCCAGTTTAGCCAAAGCTGGCTGTAGTTTGGCATGACTGGCAGAGAGGCGGTAGGATAGTGGCAGGGGAGATGTAGCAGTGGGGTGGTTAGCTAAGTGGTGACAGGATTTTGTGTGTTTATCCAGCGGGTCAGGTTCTGAAGTCGTCTGGATGGATGACAAGTATAAACCTATCTGTAGGGGGTAGGATATGGTCCCAGATGTCCCCATATTTAACACTATTTCCTGTTTAACAACCCATAGCAATTCCATGCTCTGTCCCACGCCATGATCGGTGGCAGGAAGGTGGTCTTTAAAGGTCGAGTTTTAGTTAAAGCATCTGGAAATGGAAGGCATTTGCAAGTAATTCCCATATACTAGTGCACTAACCCTTTGAGACGCCTTAATTATGGAATCTTAGAGAATCTATCACGGCATCTTAGAGAGGAGAAGTGTTTCTAGAGCCAAATATACATCTGTGCCAACACACTGGAAGTTATATAATAGTTTGTGTTAGGGGTTTGAAAGGTATTGCAGTCACACAAAGAGGCAAAGGGAGAATGGAGTGGACGTGTGTGTTCTGATGACACTGGATGCTGGCTGTAACTGATTAAGAGCCTGAAGGAACAAGAATTTTCCCTTTAGCTGACCCAGGTGCCTACAACAGATAAGTGAGCAGATGGCCAGGAATTGCGTATCTTCCCCAGGTCCTTCTTCATGCCCTGAACGAGGTTATAGTTACCATCACTGTTCGGAGGCAGGCGCCCTTGCCATCCTTTAAGGTTTCCTGTGGGTAGAAATGAAAGCAGGCGTCAGGAAAAGGGTGGGACCCCCTAGGGAAGTTGAGGGAGCTAGGTGTTTTCCTTTAAGGCTAGCCTTACTCTCATGAGGTCTTTAGCAGTTTTCTATTTTAAAAAGAAACCTACTCTCTTACCAAGAAACAGCTCAATATATTTTGGGGAAAAACCAACCCACATACATTTCTATATATTTTATTTCTTGTGGTGCTGGGATTTGAATCCAAGCTTTGGGGAAGGTAGGCAAGTGTTTTCCTTTTTGCCTTCATTTTCTCTATATCGTCAGCAGTTTGTTAAATTGAAAAATTACAAAACCCAAATCCACCCTCCCCATACACAAACCAATGTGCAGAAACTGGCATGTAAAACCAAAGGAATTTGAAAATGAAACCATAACAAAAGTTTGAAACCCATGTCTGCCAGGGCAGGACCCAGAAGTACTATCTCGGTGTTTATTGTGCAATACCCACAGACCAAACTTTGCAGTTGGTCATTTTCTGTAAATGTCACAAGAAGTCTGTTAAACCAGGTTGCTGCTCAAAAGATGGTATCTTTTGTAGATTTCTAGATCTCATAATCTTAAATATGATGCGTGTGGGTCAGTCACAAGGCTGAAGATTTCCTATCATTTGCAGTCTTACATCTGACTTAGTTTTGTTATTAACCAGTGAGAATTTGAAGTGCAGTCTTTTAGTTTAGCACACTTCCAGGGCAATGGTGAGCATGCATTGTGCAGGCTGCCCTGATGGACACTTGGAAAGATCACTGAGATGCTATGTGGATATTTCTGCCCCAGACCCAAAAGGGAATAAAGACAAAGTCAAGGAAAGCCCTAGCCGTGAAAGATGCTCCAGTTTCACCAGCTCCATAAACTTCCAAGTGGGCACCTCAAACCACATATGCTGTTCCAGCCTTGCAAAAGGCAGCAGTCTACCCCAGGACATGGCTAACTTTCCTACAAAGTTTCCACAGTAAAAGTTCAGTGTTATCACAGGCACACACCTCTGCCGCTGTAGCATGAGAGCAGCCGTGGGTGTAGCTGTGGAAGACCCATTTTCATAGGAACATGATGGCCACTGGAACTTAATCTTCACATCATGAAATATTGCACTGACTAATAACATTTAGAGATGCAAACCCCACTTTGAGCTCTTGGGTCAAACAAAAATGGCTGCAGGCAAGGCCTGGCCAGGGAGGGTTTATAGCTGGCCCCAAACACCGGAGAGGCTTATTATTCTTCTCAGGGTTTCTTCACACTACTCATCCGTCTGACTTTCGTGTAGTTTCTGTCCCTTTTGCAGGTTTCTGTTAATGGAGGGGCATGACAAGTGATTGGCACCAGAAGAAAAAGGTTCTTTAATATCCTGTCTTACCTAGACAATTTATAAACAAATGGTTTACTTCTTAAATACTTAAGAGGGCATTGCAGTTTGAGACTACAAAGTTAGATGGTATGCTTTAAGGCCTTTTACCATTAATTAATCAATGAAAATAGCAAAAGTTTAGGGCACTGTACATCTCGTTTTTAATAAACCACAAGGCAAAACAACACTTTATTTAATAATCATATAGGAAATTTCATTTGAAAATGGCAAATACAGTACATATACAAAGAACCTGATCTTCATTACACAGATAAACCCCAACTTCAAAATCTTTCTAAAATCAATCATATGCAAAATACTTGGTTTTTGGAGGGGTGTACAGGAAAGTATATACAATTTCTTAAACCGTGATATGGCTTATTTAGTCACATATTTAGAGAGGCAGACACTTTCCAAATACAAGGTCTCTTCTAGGTAGAAAAGGGACAGACTGGCACATTTCAGCTTTGTGCTGCATTTATTCTAGAATATTGTTGATGGCACTACTTAAATTGACACTGTCATGGATTTAGCTGTCACAGTCTCCAAAAACATTTACCAATCTTAACAAAAACCAGATAATGACTGTTGGTTCCCCACAAACCTTTTGAAACCAAGAACTCAGTGACTGGCTTGATAAACGGAGACCCTGTAACACTGAGGAATCCCGTTTCTTCTTTCCAGTCTGCAGCGCCCACTAATATCACAATGTATCTAACTGCCAAATCAAATCTGAAAGGCCGGCCTGCAGGACCCATCCGACAGCCCTGGAGCTAGAGTGTGCAATGATGCTCTGTCGTTAGGCGACACCTGGAGGTCAGACTTGCTTCCCTCAGCACAGTATCCAGCGAGATGTCTAAGACCAGATGAACTCATCCCGTATGTAGGGACAAATTCTGTAACTCTGGCTATACACAAGGTGGTCAACAGCAAAACTGCCCAAAACTGTACCTGAAAAGGGTTCAGATTCCGTAAAAGCATCTTATGATGATGAACCAAGGATCATAAATACATAAAGCCAAATGCAGCTGAACTGCGTGCTTCAGAGTCAAAATCTCCAAGAGTACTGACTGGCATTTTGAGAAACCCAAAGTCCTTCCCAGTGGTGCTCAGTCTATTTCTGTTTCATATGCTCTATTAAGTTCAGCGTGCAGAAATCTAGGCAGGGGATGATATGCTGTTATAAAACCTTTCTCACCTGGAAAGCTCTCTCTGAAAAACGAGAGAGAAACAGTGTATCTACATGATCTTGCCTGTGTCCATTCTGGGAAGGATCACCTAAAGACAAATACTGACAGGTGAACCTCCTGGGCTAAAGAATTCATAATTAGGAAACATTTTAGAGAGAAATAAAGCCCCAACCCCAAACTGAAAAGAAATACAGTAAACTAAGAAATCCAGTGATCCAGCAAACAGTGTTGATGGGAGCTATGAAGATCTCTGCCCACATCAGGACCTGCAGCCATGGAAACAATACAGCTGTATGTAAGAATCACAATCAAGTATGTCTTATTCACTGCATTCTCGCTAATCTTGTTAAGGCAACAAGATCATTAGTCAGACAACAGTAAATTGTAATAGTAAAATTAGTAAAACAAAAGACGGTAGGGGGCCAGCGTTGTGAAACACAGGTTAATGTCTACAGTAACTGATTATCTGCAAATATTCGGTAGATGTATTGCAGTGGAGAACTGCCAAGTTTTTATGTTGTGATGCTTCCCAGTGCAAAACCAGCACCACATCTCTCCAATTCAGACCCTCGTTTCACAGAGCAAAGAGCTTCCACAGCTCAGCAGTGAAGGACAGCCCAAACCCCACAGCTGTGTAGTCCCTGGAGTAACTGCTGAGGTAATGTCCTCCTCTGCGGGTACTGACAAATTAAAAAGTAAAATCTACCAGTTCTCCATCATGTGGAAGCAGTAAAGTACAAGGTCTAGCTCTTGCTGCAACAATAAAGCACAGAAACTTCAGGCACACCCCACCTTAAGTAGAACAGGATAGTTAAGATTCCCAAGTTTTCAGTGTTTCTGTATTTTTAAAAAACAACCCCTTTCAATATTCAAATAGATTTTTAGGCTGTCTTATCAAATAACTTAAGGAACAAGTCACTATGAAAATCTAGATATGCCCACATTGTGATAAAGGATGCCTATAAGAAACTCATGGTATGATAAATGTTAAGTACAAAATGTACATTTTCCCTTTCTTTCCTAGATACCTAAAGGCCACTCATGCCCAGGCAGCCACTTAAATGCCTGCTACTTATTCATATGGTTATCACCGTTTTATTTAGTTTATTGTCTAAAATTTTGAAATTTAAACATTTATAAATGGACTCACAATAAAAATTCAACAAAGTTAACTTTCCTCTTTTTTTTCAAAGCAAACTTTGAATTCAGCAAATACTACTGGGTTTTATTAGGTAACAACAGCTATTTTTTGATACTATCAATTTCCAATGGGTAAATCCGGATTTCCTTATTTTAGTTTTACACGTAGGGAAAGTCTGAAGTAAGAAGATAATACCTATTTCTCACTCTTCATTTACACATCATTTGGGTTTCTAGGATTTCAATTCACAACTTGTTTGAGACACTGTTACTCTACTCTGATTCTCTGACGAGCCAAGGACCATATGAAGTGTCTATGCTGGAAAGAGATTGTCTCAAAACAACTGCTGGAAATGAAATATGAATATTCATGACTATCTCTTTAACAAACTTCTGCCAATCATGTTCCCTTAAGCTTGGAAATATTTATGCTTCTTCCCTAGACATAGCTTTAATATCCATCCTTATTTCAGTTTATTTTTGTGCACGTACATACATGACAAGAAAAAAAAAAACAAGAATAAAAACAAAACCCTTTCATTTCTGTTTTCTCAGAGTACTTTCTCCACCCAGCCCCTCTGTATTTTTATACTATGGCACTATTATAAAACTTCAAGATTGTATTTGGGGCTTTCTGTAATGCACAGAGAACCCCCTAACCCATATCATAAAACAGAAATTCTCTCTGGAGTAACAGGGTACTCTGCATGGTGGGCATTAATAAACTCAGGAACTCTATTGGTCACTGAAAGATGCATACAGATGACCTGGTGTACATGAGAACAGGGTACCAAGCAAACGATTACTAACAATGCTGGCAGTTCTTTAAAGAGGAGCTTTGTCTCTTACTATTCGTAAGACAATTCTACATAAAGCACAGAGTGATTTGTAGGGAAGACAGAAACGCAAACCTTCACACCCCACCGCTTGCCCCTCTGGTTTAGATCATCATATGGTAAGGTGATTTAAGGTTAAATCTAATGTCTGTTATTCAGAGCTATATTAAAAATTTCCTAAATAATTCAATGATAGTGACCACATTATGTGAATATTTCTGGTACGATTACAAATAATCAAAACATTGAGATTCAAAACCCAGTAAGATCTGGAAAATTTGCTTATAAATTATGACTCTAACAAATATCAAGAGTTATTTGTGAAATAAAACAGTTCTGAAACACTTAGGAATACATGCTTATTCCATTTTCTGGGTATTATTACTTTCTGAAATCTGTTGAGGGCTGATTTTTATAAAAAGAGAACACAATTCCAGAAACTAGATGCCAAAATTACACAGACACAAAAATCCCAAATAATTCAACACTGAGTTTGCTAGCACTCACTTCATACGACAGGCCTGTAAAAAGTAGTTTTAGATGAAAATACTGAATTCTGAGTCTTCCTGTGCATCTTGGGTATTTTGTCAAATGAGTGAAGTACGGTCTTGAACGGTCTTCTATGAGGTATCTGCAGAGCTACAGCTTACTCTGTAAACAGTACTTTGGAAACTTCACCCGAAAATCATGCAATTATCAGTCAGATGGGAGGGACTGTTCTTGTGAGACCGGAGCTTGACATGTACACAGCTGTCAGGGACTCCATTAGTATACGTTTATTGCTCTCAAGTCTGTGACTGTAGGATAAATAAGGCTGTAGACCCCAAGTACATAGAATCAGGTACTGGAACTCTGACAATTTGCACAAGTTCTGTTCATTTCTTGTCTGTAGCTCTGGAGCTGAATAGTGCATTTATACATGCCAAATGTGTTCAGTAATAAATGCTTAGCTTTGGACTGTACTTCTTCCCACTTAGATGAACTTCCAGGAACTGCAATATCAAGAAAATATCACATTATCTATTGTACACTGCTATATTATTAGTAAGCAAGATTCAGAGAAGAAACAACAGTACACTGCAACCATACGCTCATCAGTCTGATGCCCCCTCTCTTAAGCCCTTCTCTTCTGCTGTAGAAGTCATACATAGCCCAGAATGGCTTCCCACGATCTCAGTCTTTCCATGCTCAATAGAGAGAATGCTGAATACAAGCCTCTTGTTTAAGGACCTTATGATCCTTAAGAAAGAACCAAATGCATATATTATTTTGATTTTAAAAAGCCATCAGTCTCTGAAATGATTTAAACAAGAGTGTGGTTTTTATTGTATAAAAGATGGCATAGCAAAAGTATGTAATACCTTTAAAATGCAGGTAGATATCAATTTGTAATATCTTCTCTCAAAGAATTACAAAAAAATAAATGCTACTATTTCTTTATTTGGAGTTCTGGGAACTGAAAACAGGGCCTCACAAGTGCTCTACCCCGAGCTATCTTCCCAGCCTTTGGACCTGCAATTCATCTTTTAAAGAGCCTCACTCTCCACTAAGTCTTTGTATCAGAAGTCTTCAGACACATGACAAACTTAGATTTGGTTCCAAAATCAGACACCTTTGAATCCCATCAGCAACATACTTAGCTGCATGTGAACTATGGCAGTGGATTTCCCCGAAGTGAGAGACCAGATATTCAAGTCTTCCACAGAATAGACATCTTCTATTTTCATCAGCGACTCTTTGATATAATCTACATTCAAGTGGCTTGGTACACCTATTAGTTTGGAACATATAATTTGTAAGTTTACTTTGGTAGGAAATCTTATATTACATTTAAAGAAAACAAATGGTTTTGCCAAATTTAATTCCAATGAATTTGAAGCTTTGTTTACACTTTAAAATAAATTACAGACATTCTTATAAAAATATAGGAAATATACAAGAATCAATACATACTTTAAAAATGTTAATTCTCACCAAAGTGGAGTAGCAATCAGTTTACAATATTTAGCTCAACCTTAATAAGTTAGCTTAGAAAAAAATCTTTTTAACAAGGTTTCACCATGAAACCCTGGCTGGCCTGGACTTCTCCTAAGTAGATCAGCTTGACCTTGAACTCACAGAGATCTACTTTCCTCTGAGTCCTGAGTGCTGGGATTACAGACATGTGCTACTATGCCCAGCTTAGGAACAGTTAATAATGATAAATTATTGCTGAGAACTTTTCTCTTCATGCTTAGACATGCTTTCAGTAAGACAAGAATGTCAAAAAATATAACAAAGTCACAAATTAAATAACATGAAGGAATTAAATAAACCACAAGGTATAACTGCATTAAGAATCAGAAGCTGCACTTTGTCCTAGCTTTACAGTTTATTAGTAGCATGACACTGAATGTCATGTATACAATGTTTACATACTTTTTTTTGTTTGTAAATGTCAATTCACTCAACTGTCTGCTTTACCCTGAAAGGGTCAAGTGCATGGCCCAGGGACTGCACTGCTTCTTGTTTGCTATGTACAAGAGAGTATATCAGTAAAACACCAGACATGGCTCCTATCCAGAGCAATCTCCTAGCTGGATCTCCAGTAGGGAGGGGTAAATCCACAGTGGGACACTAATGAGTGCTTACCTTCCAGTATTATCACTACTGTGTCCCATATGATGCGAAACGTTGTGAAAGCCACAAGTAATGAAAATATATATGTACAGATGGGATCAGCAATCTTGTATTCTGGCTAAAAGGCAAACAGATGAAGGTTGTGTGATTAAACAGAGACTGACATTAAACACTATAAAGTAAGCAAGGCACACAGCCCCGTTCTTTATCTTTCTTTAACAGGATTGGAAAATACTTTTTTTTTAATAGGTGGTATCAATCAATTCAAAACCATCTTTTATTAGGCAACCAGAAAGAATGCAGATGTGAAAGCATACCTTATGATTTTACAAATGTAACTTTTAAAGTATTAACGAAGTATGATTAAAATCATAAAAATTCTGAAATTATAAAGGGAGGTCTGAAAGTTATCAAATTTGTTTAACAGCCTTCTCCAAACAAATAAATAGAAAAGAGATAAGACAACTCTCTCTTATAAAAGAATATACTATATTTTCATCTGATTATTTGGCACGAGATAACAAATTGATGTCCTCTTTCAGGAAAGTGGAAAATACTTGTAAAACTTGGACACTAACTGAGAAACATCCTCACTCTTAAGATTTTTCAAATGGTTTGCTTCGCATGCCTTTTCTGGAAGTCTGGTTATTCTGTCTATTCTCCTCTGTGCCTTCTCTGAATTCTGAACTCAGAAGCATAACATACTGAAGCTGGAAAGAACTGTATCAGCCATCTGGACTGAAAAACTCACTGGAGAGAACAGAATTAAAATTTAGAGTTGCTGCAAAGATGAGAACCTCAGCGCACAGCTCATGCAGTGGTTTGGTGACAAGGGTTAACAGCGAGCTTTACAGTGAAGGTGTTATCTAAGCCCACTACGGGTAAATCAGCTAGTAAGGTGACATTATTGTGCTACTGACAGTAAGTAACTATACCGATAGCCAACTAATCTGACACCAGTGAAAAATAAATAAAAAGGCATTAGTGTCCAGTACATTGATAAAGGACTAGCTTTTAAACTAAGCATTAGACACGTTTGAAGTAGAAAGCACACCATTTTACCTTGAATCTTATGATGTATGCAGCTATAAGCACACCAACACTCTGTACCAAATCACCCAGGGCATGTACAAATGCAGCTCTCACTGCCAAGCTGTCCTGCCCATGGCTGTGTCCACTAGATACCATGGTCGGAGAATTTGAAGGCAGGGAGTGGGAATGGGAGTGGGAATGGTGGTGACCGGACTGGTTCAACAGAAACCCCATTCTGTTAAAAATGAAAGAAAACATATTATTTCTCTGAAATTATTGAGAGAACATCTATTACTACTCAGACAGTAATGGAGCAATGCAGAACAGTCATTTAAGAAGGATGAAAGCAACTGCTACACAGAAAATTTGTTGTAGGTTCATGGAGCTTATGATCTGCATGGGACCTCAGAAGTGCAAGCACACAGCCAGTTAATGTGAAATGCTTTGGAATGTATACAGCTTTGTACAAGTATGGAAGATGAGGGGCCAGGTGATGGGGTAGGTGGGTGGGGTGGCACAGAAGAGCTCTCTCAGAATCCTTTGAGCAGAGACTTACAGAAGTCAGGAGCAGATGGTGGATGCGTATTCTAGGAAGAGCAGGCAAAGGCTTAAAATGAAACTGCACTCCATGCATTTGAGAAAAATATGGCATTGTGGCCAAAATAAGGAAAGTAAGAAGTGCTAAGGCAAATGGGGGGCTGCACAGGGTTTTATTTTAAAAGGTGGTTGTAGGGACTTCTGATCTTTATTCTAAATTTGAATAGAAGCCACGAGACAGTGATTTTTAAACTGAGGCCACTAGACCATATTTGGCTATGTTTTTTAAAGATGAAGTTCTATTAGAATACAGACATATGTATTCACACAGTGAACATGGCTGCCTTTGTTAACATCAGGGTTCCATTGCTTTACACGTGTAGCTCTCAAAGACTCACCAACGAGGCTTCTTGTTGTTTTAGAAGTGTGGGAATCAACCCAGAGCCTCATGCATGCTAGGGAGGGCCCTATCACTAAGCTCTGCCTATAACCCCATCTATTCTCTAAAGAAAGTCTGCTAACTTCTGCTCTAAATGATTAAGTATATAACATATTTCAGTAGTTTTGAGGAAGAAAATTGATTCTAAAAGCTAACAGGCTGGTGATATGGCTCAGCAGGTAAATGTGCTTGCTACTAAGTTTGACAGCCTGACCTTGATTCCTGTAACCTACATGGTCAAAAGAGAGAAATGTCTCCTATAAGTTGTCCTCTGACCTCTATGTGTGCACAATAGCATGTGTACACAAATAAAATATATGCAAAAAACTTAAAATGTAGCTAATGTAAGATTATTAAATATTAAACAACATACTTGGCTATAATTAAATTCCTTAGTGTTAAACACATGGGCAAGTTAATGAGTTTAGCACGCTCCAAATAAAACTGATGTACTATATTTTGAATATGAAACTATTTTATGTCTGAATGCATGCATATGCAATCGTCTTTTCGCTTACAACATGTGAGAAAACACTGTGCTTACATGACATTAACTGCAACTCCAACAGCTGCGGTGATGAGCATGATGTCACCGTTTATCTCATAGTTCATATGGATTGTTCTCTGCACAGCTTCATATAAGAGGAATCCCATAAGTACATACACCAACATCACACTGATCATAGCTGACAAAACCTCTAGAAGGGAAGATGGAAAACACATGTATCTTCAGCACAGCTGTTACATTGCTTACCAACTAAACACTGCTCAGTTTTTTACTTACAACACTATCTTATTTTTGTCATAAAACATTTTTCTTAAGTATTTCACAACTTGAATTGTCTAGACCCTTAACTAATTCATCTCCATCCTCTATTTATTTATCAAATTATGCATATTTACAGGCTATTCACAAGGTAAAACTGAAACAGAAAAATAATAGATCAGATGAGATGAGGCGCGTTCGGGGTGGTATGGCCGTAGACTAGAAAAATAATGGAAATGTGACCACAGACAACTTAACAGCATAACAAGAGGCATGTGAGGTAGCTCGGCACGCACACAGCCCTGGGCCAACTTCTGGCTTCATTCAGGTCTGCTGGTGCATCTGTAATCCCATTACTCATGAGGTAAGGTCAATGGATGGGGAACTCAAGGTCATTATCCCCAGCTACATACTGAGTCTGTGGCCAGCCTGCGATATAGGAGAGCTGGTTTCAACAGCACAGCAACAAAATAAATAACTTAAAAGAAAAGATTGGGTAAGAAAAAGAATTTTTAAAAAGAAGTAAGAAACTAAAGAGTAATCTGTCATAGAAAGAAATGGAAAAATTCTCAATAACAAATGTAATAAAAGAAAATTGTATTTTATTACTTTGTATGGGTGTTTGGCCTGCATGGACGTCTGTGTGTCATGTGTATGTTTGGTGCCCTCGGAGGACAGAAGAGAACATAGGAGCCTGTGACTGGAGCTATAGACAGCTGTGGGTGTCATGTGGGCGCTTGGGTTCTGGGTTCTCTGGAAGAGAAGCAGCCAGTGCTTTTAATCACTTAGCAATCTCTCCAGCCCCTCAAAATTCTTATATCCTTGTTAAGTTGGCAAATAAATTTAAGTCTGATAATTTCTAAAGTTAGCAAGAATATTAATGTAAATATCAAATGGTTAGCTTTTTATTATTTGATTTCTTTATTTACATTATTGCATGTATTTGTTTTTTAGTTAACTAATAAAATATTTTATTATTTTTATTGAGCTTTACATTTTTCTCCATTTCCCTCCCTTTATCCCCTCTCCCATTCTACCCACTCCTGTGACCTCCCAATTTACTCAGGAGATCTTGTCCTTTTCACCTTCCTATGTAGATCCATGTATGTCTCTCTTAGGGTCCTCTCTATTGTCTAGTTTTTCTGGCGTTGTGGCCTGCAGGGTGGTTTTCCTTTGTTTAATGTCTAAAAGTCACTTAGGAGTGAATACATATAATATTTGTCTTTCTGGGTCTGGGTTACCTCACCTAATAGGTTTTTTTCCTAGATCCATCCATCTGCCTGCAAATTTCAAGATGTCAGCTTGGTGGTAGTGGCGCACGCCTTTAATCCCAGCACTCAGGAGGTAGAGGCAGGTGGATCTCTGTGAGTTCGAGGCCAGCCTGGTCTACAGGAGCTAGTTCCAGGACAGGCTCCAAAACTACAGAGAAACCCTGTCTCAAAAAACCAGAAAAAGAAAAGATGCCTCTTCAGTTGAGGGGCATCTAGGTTGTTTCCAGGTTCTGGCTATTACAAATAATGCTGATGTGAACATAGTTGAGCACATGTCCTTGTGGTATGATTGAGCAAAATAGAAAAAAAGAAAGCATATTCAACAAATGGTGCTGGCATAACTGGATATCAACATGTAGAAGAATGAAAATAGATCCATACCTATTGCCATGCACAAAACTCAAATCCAAATGGATCAAAGACTTCAACAAAAAACCAACCACACTGAACCTCATAGAAGAGAAAGTGGGAAGCACACTTGGACGCATTGGCACAGGAAACAGCTTCCTAAATATAATCCCAGTTGCACAGACACTGAGAGAAACAATTAATAAATAGGACCTCCTGAAACTGAGAAGCTTCTATAAAGCAAAGGACATGGTCAACAAGATAAAACAGCAGCCTACAGAATGGGAAAATATCTTCACCAACCCCGCATTGGACAGAGGGATGATCTCTAAAATATACAAAGAACTCAAGAAATTGGTCATCAAAAGAATAGTCCAATAAAAAAAATAGGGTACAGACCTAAACAGGGAACTTTCAACAGATGAATCTCAAATGGCTAAAAGACACTTAAGGAAATCTCAACATCCTTAGTTGATGGAGGAAGGTCATTGGTTAATTAATAAAGAAACTGCTTGGCCCTGATACGTTAGAACGTAGGTGGGTGGAGTAAACAGAACAGAATGCTGGGAGGAAGAGGAAGTGAGCTCAGACTCGATAGCTCTCCTCCCTGGGGCAGACACGATGAAGCTCTAATCCAGGATGGAGGTAGGCTAGAATCTTCCAGGTAAGCGCACCTTGGGGTGCTACACACATTATTAGAAATGGGCTAGTCCAGTGATGTGGGAGTGTCATATATCAATCTGTTGATTTCATTGGTTAAGCAATAAAGAAACTGCTTGGCCCTGATAGGTTAAAACATAGGTGGGAGGAGTAAACAGAACAGAATGCTGGGAGGAAGAGGAAGTGAGCTCAGAGAGACGCCATGTTCCCCTCTCCCGGACAGAGGCGAGAGCTCTGCTCTCTGAGGCACACGCGATGAAGCTCCAACCCAGGATGGACATAGGCTAGAATCCTTCCCGGTAAGACCTGTGCTACACAAGTTTATTAGAGATAGGTTGATCGGGATATCAGAATTAGCCAGTAAGGGCTAGAGCTAATGGGCCAAGCAGTATTTAAATGAATACAATTTGTGTGTTGTTATTTCGGGGCATAAGCTAGCCAGGTGGCCGGGGTTCTGGGGATGCAGCCCCGCCGTTCCTATTACTACAGTCTAGGTGCGAGAGTTAGCCGAGAAGAGGCTAGATATAATGGGCCAAGCAGTGTTTAAAAGAATACAATTTGTGTGTTGTTATTTCAGGGCATAAGCTAGCCAGGCACCCGGGAGCTGGCAGCAGGAATGCAGCCTGCAGCTCCCTCAACACAGTCATCAGAGAAATGCAAATCAAAACAACTCAGATTCCATTTTACACCTATCAGAATAGTAAAGATCAAAAACACTGATGACAACTTATGCTTCAGAGGTTGTGGGGTAAAGGGAACACTGCTGCATTGCTGGTGGGAGTGCAAGCCAGTACAGCCCCTTTGGATGTCAGTGTGGTGATTTCTCAGAAAATTAGGAAACAATCTACCTTAAGACCCAGCAATACTGTTGTTGGGTATATAACCTAATTAATTAATTTTTTTAAAAACAACCTTTTCTCATTTTGCATACCAATACCAGTTCCTACTCCCTCCCCTCCTCCCACTTCCTTCACTTTTCCCTCCCACACCCCATCCACTCCTCAGAGAGGCTAAGGCTTCCCATGGGTGTCAACAAAGTCTAGCACATCACTTTGAGATAGGACCAAGGCCCCTTCCACTATCTAGGCTGAGGAAGGTATTCATCCAAAGAGAATAGGGTCCAAAAAGTCAGCTCAAACAGTAGTGACAAATCCTGGTCCCACTGCCAGTGGCCCCACAGTCTGTCCCAGACATACAACTGTCACCCACATTCAGAGGACCTACTTTGGTATAAGGTTTTACTGTTTTTGAAAGCCAATTATAAAGCTAATTAAAACTTAAAATGCATATATTTCTTGATCTAGCAATTTTACAAGTAGGAAAGTACAGGCATACAAAGGTATCTAGAAGGCTTTGCATTGTAAAACACACATGAAGATATGTTCAATGTACATCCAGGAAGGGATAGATTTAGTATTATAAGGGGTAAGCATTATATACACAGTGAGGATACCAGATATCTACTTATAATACTTAAAAGGTTAAATATTATATACACAGTGTAGATAACAGCCACCTACTTATCCATTTTAAAAGAAAAGTAGATAACAAGAGAAACAAAAATCGGGGAAATTAATGATTACAAGACAGACAGAGATAGAAAGCATGTATCTGAGAAGTGGAATGAATCAGGGGTTTAGGGTATTTTTTTCATTTTATTCTTTTTGGTAATGTTTTAAATTAAAAATTTTTAAGCCACAAACATTAAAATTATACTAAGGAAAATCTGATGGTTTATAATCAAGAAGTACAAAACACAGATTATATTATCTGACTTAAAATGCTAATCAAATAATATTATTGATTATTCCGATTAAACAAAAAGGCTCTCTTACTATGGATAAATCAAGGTTTGGAAAAATACCAGGAATAGAGATAATTACTGCTTAAAAATCTTTTTTTATTTAAAGTGACAAGATGCATATTGCAGTGGTTTGAAAGAAAATGATCCCCCAAAGGGAGTGTCACTATTAGGAGGTGTAGCTTTACTGGAGTGGGAGCAGCTTTGCTGGAGGAAATGTGTCACTGCAGAGGTAGGTTTTGAGGTCTCATATATGCTTAAGACACACCTAGTGTCTCAGACTACTTCCTGTTGCCTGCAAGTCAAGATGTAGGACACTGAGCTACTTCTCCAGCACCATGTCTGCCTGCACACCACCAAGTCACACCATGAAGATAATGAACTAAACCTCTGAAACTGTACGTGATTTCCTTTTATAAAAGTTTCCATGGTCATGGTGTCTCTCCACAGCAACAGAAACCCTAAGACAGAAGTTGGGACCAGGGACTGGGGTACTGCTGTGATGGGCCTGACCATACTTTTGTTTGAGGGAATATGGACTTCGGGACTGTGGATTAAAAAAACAGTTGAACACTTTAAGTGCTGCTTAATGGACCATACCAGTAGTAGCACAGAAGACTGTGGTGCTGTGTGTGATTACTGTGAGGGCTGGCTCAAGAGATTTCAGAGGAGAATAACTTTAGTATGCTGCCTAGAAATCATTCTTGTGATACTTTGATGAAGAATGTGGCTGCTTTTTTGCCCTTATTCGAAAAGTTTGTCTGAGGCTAAAGTGAAGAATTTTGGATTAATTCCACTGGCAGAGGAAATCTCAAAAGAGCCTAGTATAGATTCTGTTGTTACTAGTGTTAA